ATATGATTAGTCCTTAGATTACTGATTTTGGCTTATGCAAACCGATGTCTCAAGAATCAAGCTCTGAAGGAATTTTTGGTGTGCTTCCCTATATTTCTCCAGAGGTGTTGCATGGAGAAAAATATACTCAAAAATCTGATATATATTCTTTTGGAATAATCATGTCAGAAGTTTTTACTGGGTATCCTCCATATCATGATAGTTCACATGATGAGGATCTAGCAATTAAAATTTGTCTAGGTTATAGGCCTGAAATTAGATGTGAAGTTCCCAGACTACTTTTGGATTTAATGAACAAATGCTTAGATGCTGAACCTCAAAACGACCGACCGCTAAAGAATTAGCTGGAACGCTAAACCAATTTCGTCATAACTTGAAATATGAAAAAACTGGAACTGAAATATATAAACAGGTTAAAGAAGTTAATAACTCTGACAAAAATTCCAATCAAACCATATCGACACAACTCAACTACCAAACACATAAACAAACTATTTATTCAAGTCGGCTTTTGAAATATCAAAATCTCCCTAAACCAATAAATGCTAAACAAGTATTTGCAGGTAAGAATACTATCCAACAAAGATATTGGTTTTAAAGTATTATTTTTTTCATACTTATTAACGGTTAAACTTGTTTTAGTAAGCAAACCTGTAGAACGCCCAAATTTAGACTAATGTTTTAATGATAGTTAATATTTGATAGCATTTGTAATTAATAATTAATTTTTTTCAATTTCAATTGTTTTTTAAATCAAATACTGTATATTAAACATAGTTATTGGGACATGCTATTACTGCTATGTACTGTACGTACTGCATATATCGATGTTTATGCAACATTTATATAAACATACATGTTTTACTGGTCGTACTATACATTACATTTTTCTATATAGCTAAAATAGCTCACTGCAAAATAAATAAATGCTTAGCTTTTTTTGATAAACATTAATCAGTAAACGATTATGTAAATAGGTACATACTTTAAAAAAATAGAATTTGTACATCGCTTATTTTGAAATAATTACGCCACCTATTTTATTTGAAATCGGACGCCAAATCATTAATTCTGAAACCCCCTAATAGGGGGTTTTAAAGTTAAATTCAGAGAATCTTATTTTATTTTTCCGATTTATAATTCAACATAGTAAAAATGCTTTGACAAAATCCTAATCATTTTCGAAATGCATCACTTATTTGTTAACTTTGAAACCCCCAAATGGTGGCGTTTTGTAAGCTGGAACCTTAATTATCAGTCTTTAAATTTCAGGACCTTAATAAGATTATACAAGAAGTTAATATATCCTAAAAGGTATAGCAACATGTTATGCTGAGCTTTTGAAGAAATGTTGGGATAATGACCTTCAGTAATAGAAACTCATGAAATGGAAAAATGGCCTTAAAATTTTATCTGAATTTTAAAATCAGATAAAGCAATGGGGGTTGAAATGATGACTTTAATAATATGGGAGATAATATGGGCTAAGTGCTGAGAAATTTTTTCAAATGTTTTTTTACATAAATTAATTTAAAATAAGATTAGGATCATTTTTCACTTAAGATACAAAAGTAGTTGTGTTATAAAATTTTGCAGTATAGCTTCTTAAAATTTGCATTTTCTTATGATTTATTATACTGTAAGATTTACAACATAAAAATTGATTTTCCGAAGATCTTTTTTTTTGTCAATTTCCGCCCTTTTCTCAGCACCAAGCCCATATGATTTATACTAGCAGATTCATTAGTTATATTAACAAACAGTAGAATACATAATTTCCGATGCAGGTGAAATTATTTCTAATAATAATATTTACGCTGAAGATATTGAAATTCATAATCTGCTAGTTAAACTTTATTTATTAAACCATATGGTTCCGGAAGATTATTTTCTTAGCAAAAATCTCATATATGATATACTGTATATTGTAATTTATGATGATAAATATCATATTTTTATTTAATTTGCGAATATAAATTACACTATTTAGTAAATCTACAGAAACAAAGAACAAAAATGTGCATCATACTTTCCTAGTCACGGCGCGCAACCACTGGTGTGTAGTAAAATAAAAATTCGGATGACTGAGATATATAAATTCTATTAGAATTTCGATCATTATATAACACGGTTAAACATACATTATCTGAATCCGGGTTTTCCTAATTCAGTAATTTGAAAATGTGACAAAAATCCAAAGGTTTCGGATTATCGTATGTTGACTGTATCGATATATTCTGGTTACATATGTCGTACGTCGGAACGAAATTATTGTAGATTTAGGATCCACTTAGGTTGGAACGGAATTCCAAATGTAGCCCAAGTTGATACGAAATTTAAAAAGCAACTTAAGTCGAATCTATATTTAATACTACCATAGGCGCGTAATAACGCGCATCTGTGCGTTATTTTGAGACTCTGCGCGTTATTTCGGAACGCGCATGCGTTCGGATAATTATCCTAATTTTGAAGAAAAGGCACAATCACTAAAAGTTTATCTGAGACTATATATGTGGGGCGCGTTATTTCGGAACGCGCATGGGAGTTATTTTGAGTCAAATATGCGATTTTCAAAAAAATGGAATTTTCGAAATAACGCCCATGTGCGTTATTACGCGCCTATACGGTATATAATCGATAAATTTAATAGCAACTTAAGTTGATATTAAATTCGATAATATAATAAATCATGATATATTGTCAAGATAGAACACAAATCTTTTATTATTTCTTTTTTTTTTCTATTTCACTTTTTCATTTTTTGCAACTCTCTACCTGATGACCGAATATTAAGATTATCCATTTTTACTCCGTAATGTATTCAAAAAATTACTTTCCAAATATTTTAGTAATGATTCGGCAAATAGGTAACATAAAACTTTACGTGTAAACTTTGTTTTGTATTAAGGTTTTACAAGAGTCAGCAAATACAACAATCGGGGATGCGGAAAATCGTTATTTGGCAAAAAATACATTTGCAATACGTGGTTAAAATAGTATTCTTTCAATGCTCATAAGCATTTGAAAAGCATTTATTATGCAATCCTCTTCACAAGTAGGTAATTTTAAATGCAATTGCAAAAAATATAAAAATCCCTGTAAATGTAAAATAAATATACCCTGTAGGAATAGTTGCTATCCCACTAATCATAGATGTAAAAATTTCGTATCATGCTTTTAAATTTAATTAATTTGCAATGCACTGTGTTATGAATAAATCCTATCTTAGTAATTTAAATTCCAAAACAACGTACTCGATAAAATAATTTGGAATACCCGAATTGGAATTCTTTAACGACTCGGGCACATTTTAGAATTCTATTACAATCTAGGTGAATTCTAAACCTACAATAATTCCATTCCGACATACGCATATATTCCAAACAAATAATAAATATTGGTTTCGACGAATTATGTATCAAAAAATTACCGGTATATACTGTATATTCAAAATACCTTACCATTAAGATTATGCAATATTTCCTTCCCAGCGATGCGCGCCATTGTGGCAAATTTCAAATAATTTAATATGTGTAGTTTGCTTTGGTAAATTTTTTTTTGTCAAAAAAATTTTTAAACAAAATATTTAAATATATGCGGTAAATATTCATTATATATATATATATATTTGTTTGTTTTTATGGTGAAACTAATAGATTTTAATTTTACAGATTTTTTAAAAAAAATTTTAAGATAATTTAATGCCATAGAATAATCGTATTGAATTTCTAACTATCCGGATTGCAAATTTCTTTAAAACGACGTTTTAAACATAGAATTGTTCTTGGATATTCTGAGAATCATTTAGTCCTTAGTTCGTTACCGGCCGTTACCGGCCGTTCCCGGCTTCAGATAGGTGTAGTAATGGATCAGTCTTCGAAAAGACCGACAGAAAATTTATCGTTAAGTGATAACTTTTATGACCTGCCATAGGTCATTTGGTCATAACAAAGGTTGATATGGCTTTATGACTTTTTAATATAGTAAGAATCATAATAAAGAAAATTTTTCAATAGCATTTAATATGACCTATATGACCTATGAACAAAAGTCATAGGATCATATGATCAAAGTCATATCAACAAAAAAATGACCAATTTTTTTGATGACTTAAGTCATACGGTATGGCTTATGTCATCGGCCAACACTGTTGACGGGTTGACACGTTTGAATTGTTACGTTCTTAAAAAGTTAAGAATGATGTTTTAAATTAGGTGACTTACACAAATATAGATTTACTGTTTATTAACTTGTTTCTATGACTTTTTGGTGCTGTGTTATGTGTCACATATAATTTACTTGACAAATAAGACTAATTTTGATGACATAATATTACATCAATTATTCTTATCGATATGGTTAGATTTTATAATTTCTATATCAATTTTATGCTTTTTTTTCCTCAAAAAAATCTATAAAAAAATCTCGAGTGAAAATTTTTTCTCGTTCTATAACGATAACGATAATATAATTAAAATTTAATAAAATAATGCTAAATAATATTTATCGTTTATAATAATCAATATCAAACGATTTAAACAGGTATATTCGTGATTTTATGATTTTATTTCACTTTTCTATTATGCTTCGTCTTACAACTAACTATACTTGCCGGCCAAAATCGGCAAAATTCCAAACTATTATAAAATTAGTTTATCCGTATCCAAATCCCAGATTCTAATCAAACTCATATTTCCTTAATAAACTTTATTCTAAAAAATAATATATTGTAAAATTTCAAGAGTTTTTTTTTTTTTGATTTAATTTTTGGGTTTGAGATTTGTCCGGTTTTTGCCAGTAAGTATATTTACAACTAAACTTTATGCGATGCTTCGAACAAACCCTTTAAAATCACAGGTGTAAAGTATATCCATATTTGTTCAGTATGTAAATGATTTGATTTTACTTTGTTTTTTATTTTAATTTTTGGATATGAAGCTTCTCTTGTAGATTTACTGAATTATTTTATTATACAGTATATAGATGATAAATCATCAAAAATGTTTAAAAGTCCTTTTAAAAAAATATCAAATATATTCCGATCACCTCTTAAAACACCACCTTCTATAAATTTTAAACGATTTTTTTCACCTGTAACAAACATACCACGACCATTTTGTCCGCCACCTCCATTAGCCCATCAACAGCGTAACTTTTTTGGTTTTGATGCATTGTCATCGCGAAGATCTTATACCGGCCATAAAGTAGTTGGGTTCGTGTCAGATGATTTTAACGGACTTATTTATTACCATATGTCGTTTAAGATTCACATCGCTCTTTTATTCATCTCGTTCTTTTGTTCAGATACACACAAAAACAGCTTTATGATGTAGTTTCAAATATCGATGATTATCATCTGTTTATACCGTTTTGTACAAATTCTGAAGTTTTAAAGTCACAATATATTGACCGAAGAACAAAAATTCTAACCGCTGCTCTAGGTGTGGGTTTTCAAGGGTTTTCAGAAACATATGTTTCAGAGGTAACATGCGAAAGACCATATTTTGTGCAGGTAATCCAATTTTCACATTTCTTTTCTTTGAAATTATTTTATATTTATAGTACATTTGCTTTTTTTATCATGCCATAGGCAATTGCTTCTTCTGATGCTCTTTTTAAGCACCTGGTAACAACATGGAGATTTACACCGCACGAGGAGTTCCCATCAACTCATTGTAATCTAGATTTTTGTTTAGAATTTGAATTTGCATCTTCCATACATGCACAAGTCGCCAATGTATTTTTTGATCAAGTTAATGAATTAATAGTAACTGCATTTGAAGAGAGATGTAACCAGGTTTATGGACCACCTATAAATTTACAAGATATTGATGATGAATAAATAATTGCAATTATCACGGCATTTTTTTTTATTGGAAACTATACAATATAAAACAATTATACCTCTTTTCAATTATACACGCGACATTAACCAATTAATCATAGTATAAGTATACATTTTTGGATATCGTTTCAACATTAGAGATAGGAAATCTCAAAATACTAAATAATTCGTGATTTAATTTTTTAGTAATTACTATTGTATAAACTAATGGCATTATAATTTATTATTATTATTATTATTAATTATTATTATTATTATTATTATTATTATTATTATTATTATTATTATTATTATCATTATCATTATTATTATCATTATCATTATCATTATCATTATCATTATTATTAATTTAGTTACGTCAAGTTCAGTCATTACTCACACGAACGAATTTCATGAATATTTTTTTTTGTTTTGCTGAAAATATATCTTTAATGTGTCAATTATGAAGTAAAATCGACAATCACGACTCATATTAATCGTAAGAAACATATCACAAATAAAGCCGCAAAAGAATATCAAATAAAATAAAAACAGTCAGCAATAGGCAAAATTTTAGTTTAATTCTTTACGAATGCTAAACATAATGTATTTTAAATCAAGCAAGTATAGTTATCATTAATATGCTTAAACATAAATTATCAAATATAGTATATATATATTATCATTAACTCCTACAAATTTCTGCTTTCAACTATACAAATGGAAATTTCTAAAAAAGCTCAAATTTTTCAAGAATTTTTAACGGCATTATTAAAAAGGCAGAACTAGAATATGAATAATCTGAGTAGCAAGCTTAAATGAAAAAGATAGCAGAGGACCAATATATCAACTAGACTGCTAGTTTGCTATTACTGAAGGAAAAAAGATATATTATTATATACATTATTTAATTTTCTTTTGATGTAACTTTCACAATAATAGATTTGTTCTTAATCTTTTGCGATTCCATTTTTTCCATCATTTTTCGCCTTTGTATAAGACCATCTCTAGCAGCAACACTCAGTACACCCGCAATTAATTCCACTCCTCTCACTGAATCGTCATTTGCAGGTATAGGCCAACTGACTTTTCGAGGATCGAAATCTGTATCTACAATTCCAATTGTAGGTACATTACCATGTTTTGCTTCTTCCAATACAATTGCATTTTCTAATGGATTTAATAAAATTATTAAATCCGGTTTGAAAACTTTTGGTAATAACTCTTCAGGTTCTTTTGGCATTAAATGACCCAAAATTTGTTGTGAATTAGTTATAGTACCAGGTAACCAACGTGTTGTAAGTTGAAATTGTTTACAACGTTTTGCTGCGTTAATTGTTGCTCGAGCAAAACCTCCACCACGTGTATTAACGAATAGAATTATTCCACCACGATAACTTATTTCTCGTGTGACTTTACATGCACGACGCAAGTAGATCAATGTATGTTCAAGATTTATAATGCTAATACCATGACGAATACCAAAAATAAATGGTGATGTATTAGGGTTCCATAAAGACTTTGAATGACCTATATGAAGACCTGCCGATAAGAGAGACGCAAGAGTTAGATCATAGTGTGTTGGTGGATTATTTAGAATTTTATCAGGAGTATGATATATTTGTTTCAAGGACCCGGTTTGTTTTATAAACGATGGAACTATATAAAAGAGTTATTATGAATATTTAAAGAATTAAGAATGATATTATGATAAAAAGTAACATCACTGTGGTTATATCGACACTCTCCAGAAGCAAAGAAATTGTCCGATATATCCAAGATGTCGATTCAACCAGAGGCACTTTGATATTAAGTATATAGGTTCAAAGTTTAAAAAAAAAAATGGATAATAATTTTGAATCCAGGCTAAAATGTTATTACGTCATATTAAAATTGGTCCGGGTTCAAAAATAATTACCCATATTGTTATAGCCTGATGTCGTTATAACCAGAGTGATGTGTATAAAGTTTATAATACCCTCATCAGCTGTTATAGGGATAGCAGGTTTCCAAACCATTGCTTTAGTCAAACGATCAACATATTCATCTTTAAAATTGCCACCAGAATTCTGAGCATTAATAATGGTTTCTTTATTGTTATCATCATCTAATGTATTATATTTGACGAATTTTGTTGGAACTAATGTGGTTAATGGTTTTGACCTGGTGTTTAACGCTGTATAAATGATTAAAAAAAAATAAAAAATTAGAATTAGATAAATTCGCTGTTTACTAAGGATTGTAAATCTATCGTTATGTATTAAGACACCCATTCTAACATTTATTAATAACAAACCTCGTCGAAAATTTAAACTTATTCTGAACATGTTTTGTAAAAGTAAGATCGAGATTAAAAGCGATTCTTACCTTATATAGTTTTATATCATGTGACATGACCTGATTTTTTTTTTGGAATCGCTGGACGGGGTTTATGGAATCATCCAGGGCGACCATCAAAAACGCTGTGACGTAGTCATGGCGCAACCAGATCAAAATTACGCGAAATGACCACAGTTCCTATTAAGTAAAAATATTTCCGAATCAATTTTACTATAAAGAAGACTAAATTTTCTTAAAAAATAATTTTTGGCCAAATTATAATTTTAAAGATCATCGGCCTAAACTAACTGTAATTACGTCACAGCGTTTTTGAAAGTACCCTAGCCATGGCATATAGGATAACTTTCTTGTGATTGGTCGATCACATGAAATTGAATAACGCTTTACGATTGGTCAAATTATTGGATAATTTTTTTTATAAATTATCGAATTTTTATTTAAAAAAATTTATTTTATTAATTTTTATTAATTTTTAAAATAAAAAATTATTCTTGTAACTCTTTGAGCTTTTGCAGCAAACTATCAAGTACTGTATCTTCGTTACTACCAATAAGGCCGGACCAATTTAATTCGATAGTTTACATTACCCCCCTCCTTTTACCTTTCCTCTTCTACTTAGTAAAGTTTTATCAAATATAAAGAAACCTCACTTGTTATCACTTGCAAATTGATACATACTATCATGTTTTACATTTATATAATAGTAGAAAACCTTCTAAAGTTTTATATAAAACAACTATTAATATAGCCTATATATATATAGATAATAAAACCTTTAGAGATTTACTTTTTGAAGTAGCTAGTATTAAAAAATTTGGATCAATTTAATTTAATTCGAATCTATTTGAATTTATCTAAATCGTTTATAATTTAGTTTACTTTTTACTATTGTTTGCTTATTAAATTTTATAATAGGGTGTGGCGACTTAGTGAAGTGGTGGAGTTGTCGCACCCCCAGACGGCAGGTCTAGAGTTCGAATCCCACGGA